GTACTTGCCTTTTTTCTTACAGTCTTTCAGTAGCTCTATCTGCTGCAGCTCATAATCAGAAAGAAGAGACTGCGTCAAAATGACCTCAGTACATCTGATTACGTAAGAACACTTGTTCTTAGGTAATTTAATTTTACACGGGCACTTATAATGTAAATGGTTATTATAGCTTGCATATTATTCATTTGGATTTTAGAGTAAAATTTTTAGAGTAAAATTTTCCATCTCTTATATTCTTTAGTCATAGCAAAATGAGGTCAGTAAATTTATAAAATCAGGAGAAGATTTTGAATTGTTTGTAGTCTTACTTTGAGTATTGCTAGTACCTCAACAGGAGGTTGCAAAAACTTTGGCAGGGACACATGCAACAGATATGCCTATTGATGCTCTGGTGAAAATCTTTTTTGATTTGCACGCTTTGGTGGGTATAAAAGTGTGATTTGCACACAGCATTGTTTTTGTTATCTAGTAACAGATTTCCACTAACAGTCTGCCAGACTCCGCTGGCACTGTGCATGTATATTCATGTGATTTGAGTGGAAGTTCTTATTCAGAGTATAGCAACACAGGCATGCACAAAAAAGTTAAGTAAAATACATGTTTTAACAAATACATGCCTGCGCAGAAATTATTTAGGGACTGTATTCATCAAATAAAATAGGGTTTCTTTTTAAAAAAGGAGCAAATACATTAGAAGTGATTTGAAGCTCCCTCATCATTTCTGTTTCATAACTCAAATCCCTACTCCCATGTTGCTGTACAGTTTTTGAGGAACTCTACAGCTCTCGGGTTTTATCTGCAGATGGCTAGAATCGGATGCAGAGACATGGCTTATTTTCACTGTAGCTGGAGAGACAGACATCTGGAGGTATTTTCATGTCAGAATGTATTAAAGACAGTAGTCACAGTACGGATCATAGAGTACAGTAACCTTTGTGCATGATCATAAAGGTTTCTAAACCTCATCCTTGGTTTTAGTACTGTACAGAAGTTTATTTGGTTATATACTTCAGGGAAAAGAAACAGTTCTCATTCTTTGTTAGCCTCTGTTAAATCCTAGAATTCAGTTTATGTAATAGCTGTAGTATTGACATTTTCAGCTGAAGCTTAATCAATTTACAGATAGTAAAGAAGAGACTATTTGAGCAATGAAATTGAGATCTGTTCCACATAACCGGCTGTCAACTTTCAATAGCTTTACTCACACTCAGGGAAGCCACAGGGATTACACATGGTGTATAGTAAGCAGCTCCTGATTGTATACATACCTTTAATACAGCACCAACAATTTTTCTGTGGCTTTCTTTAGGATGAGCAATTACAGAATAGCCAGTTTCCTATACTGAAACTACTGTTCTTGAACGAGGAATGATTACATTACAAAGTCTAATCCTTGTTAAACTCAATGCAGGTATGCTTAACGTGAGTTGTACAGACATAAAAATCAAGGATAACATTTGTCCAAATCCTCTAGCAGGTGAGGACTACCAAGTCAAAACTATAAAGCTACATGTTTCCGTAACTCCCTGATTACCCCTGCTGATTCAAAACCAGCCTTCAGCATTTTGTGTTATATTTGCTTAAAGGATAGAAATAATAAATAAATAAGCACGGGTAGCAGTCTTAGGATCACAGAATCATAGAATGTTTTGGGTTGGAAGGGACCCCTAGAGGTCATCTAGTCCAACCCCCCTGCAGTAAGCAGGGACATCCTCAAATCGATCAGAGCCCTGTGCAACCTGGCCTTGAATGTTTCCAGGGATGGGGCATCTACAGCCTCTCTGGGCAACCCATTCCAGTGTTTCACCACCCTCATCACAAAAAATTTCTTCCTTATATCCAGTCTAAATCTACCCTCCTTTAGTTTAAAAACATTACCCCTTGTCCTGTCATAGCAGAGCTTGCTAAAAAGTCTGTCCCCATCTTTCTTATAAGCGCCCCCCTCTAAGTACTGAACGGCTGTAATCAGGTCTCCCCACAGCCTTCTCATCTCCAGGCTGAACAAGCCCGACTCTCACAGCCTGTCCTCACAGGAGAGCAGATCCAGCCCTCAGGTCACTGATAGCAGAGCTTGCTAAAAAGTCTGTCCCCATCTTTCTTATAAGCGACCCCCTCTAAGTACTGAATGGCTGTAATCAGGTCTCCCCGCAGCCTTCTCATCTCCAGGCTGAACAAGCCCGACTCTCACAGCCTGTCCTCACAGGAGAGCAGATCCAGCCCTCAGGTCACTGTTGTGGCCTCCTCTGGACCTGCTCCAACAGTTCCACGTCTCTCCTGTCCTGAGGGCCCCAGAGCTGGACGCAGAATTGCAGGTGGGGTCTGACCAGAGTAGAGTCGAGGGGCAGAATCACCTCCCTCGACCTCCTGGCGGCACTGCTTTTGAGGCAGCCCAGGGGACAATTGGGTTTCTGGGCTGCGAGCGTACATTGCTGGGTCATGTCCAGCTTTTCATCCATTAGTCTAGACTAAGATCCTCCAGAGAGGATAATACATGCTAAAATTCATGTGTAAAAGGCAAAGTGAATGATACAGCATTAGTGATAAAATTTAATGCCATTTGCACATTACATTTTAAAAGTAGAATATAACAGCATAAATCTAGGTTTCTATTTAACAATAATGTTTAAAAAGTGTTAGAGAAGAAATTAAGAAAAAATACAGGTTTGAAATTGAGGTAAGTTTTTAAATTAGTATTTTTCAAGTAAATTACATATTGGCAGACAGGTATTTAAAGAAGACTAACATTTTTCAGAATTTTGTTACTAAATTACTAATGTTATTTTTGAGTAACCAAAGATGCTATTTTAAATTGGCATAGTTTTAAATTAACATAATCTAAACCATAACATAAAGGACAAGGAGGTCCATATCATAGAATCATAGAGTGTTTGGGGTTGGAAGGGGCCCCTAGGGGTCATCTAGTCCAACCTGCAGTGAGCAGGGACACTGCTAACCAGATCAGGTTGCTCAGAGCCCCGTCCACCC